GAGAAGAGGAGGCTGAGGGGAGACCTCCTGGCCCTCGGCAACTCCCTGCCAGGAGGGGGCAGAGAGGGGGGATGAGTCTCTGGAGCCAAGGCCCCAGCGCCAGGCCCCGAGGGAATGGCCTCAAGCTGCCCAGGGCAGGGTCAGGCTGGCTCTGAGGAAGGATTTCTGTGCAGAAGGGGCTGTTGGGCGTTGGAATGGGCTGCCCAGGGCAGGGGGGAGTCCCCGGGATCCCTGGGGGGGTTGAAGAGTCGGGCTGAGCCAGCGCTGAGGGATCTGGGGGAGCTGGGAACGGTCAGGGGGAGGGTCATGGTTGGGCTGGAGGAGTTCAAGGGCTTTTCCAACCCGGATGGCTCTGGGATCGCCAAGGGCAGGAGGAAAGGCTCGGGGCAGGCCCGTAGCGCTGCTCTCCTGGAGCAATCTCCTGGCACCGGTGGCACAGGCCGGGAGGTTCCTGAGATACAGGTGATGCCCCTGTGCTTAATGGTCCTCAGCAGATTTGTTTTCCTTTGTGTGATTTTGTCCGGGGGCTCCCGGGACCCGGCGGCGGAGGTCTGCATCTTAATTACGCGGTGTCTGGAGAACCGTGTCCCTTTGTCTGGGCTGAATCTGCCAGCTGCTGACTTCAGCCGATATCCCCGGCCTCAAATCAGAAGGGAGAGGGAACAGTTGCTGCCTGTTCGCCTTCGCTTTGTCTTTTGACTTCACTGCTCTGGGGCACCGGGTCGGTGCTTTACACAGCCCCCCTTTATCGCGTCACGGTCGTGTCTCGGCGCGGCACCGCTCGGCTCAGGCCCGCCGCTTGCTGCTGGGTCCCGCTTCTTATTTTGGGGGTGATTTTCATCCACCCCCCCTCCCCGTATCGCTCTCATTTTTACAGCCGTAACTACCGTGGTTTGTGCCCTGTTTGAGATCACCCCGGGGTGCAGCACCAGCCCCGCTGACAGGGTCGGGTGTTGCTCCCGAAGGCCAAAACCACCCTCAGCCCATTCCGAGGAGCCCGTAAAGCCGTTGGGTGGGTAACCTGGCGCTGAGTGGGGCGCGGGGCTCCCCCGGGACCGGCCGGTGGCATCGAGGGGGCTGGAAAACGGCCGCTGTGACCCCAGACTTTACTCCGTGCCCGCGCTCTGCCTAAATGAAGATCCTTGCCTTTGCCCGTTTATTTCTTTTCAAGCAAATACAGATGTAGCGGGACCCTTCGGAGCTCGACTGGTTTCCTTGCTTGAAATCCAGGTTTATTTTTCTACACGCTCTTACCCAAAGCACTAGAACATCTGTGCGCCGCACGATGGAGGGATCCACCGCGTGCTGCAGCGCCGCTTCTAAATAAATCCCGGAGAACCTCGTGGCAGGAGATAAAAATACCGTAGGACAGAAAAAAAAAAAAAAAAAAAAAAAAAAAAAAAAGCTCAAATGCAAACTCCGTGGGCACGCAGTGCGCTCGTCCACGGTCGCAGTCACATGCTGCAGTGGCACATCGTGTCTTTTTTAGCCTGAGTCTCCAGCGTCCAAACCCCCAAAGCAGGAGATTTAGAAAACTGGAGTTGAGGGTTTTTTTCCGTACAGCGCAGGCTGCGTTCTGCAGCTGAGTCCTGGAGTTTGCCTTCAGACGGAGGAGGATGACTCTCTTCTGTAGTTTGTAAAAACCTGGTTTTAAGAAAAAAGCCGAGCAGCAGCACAGCCCCAGCAAGAGTGTGACAGCTTGCAAGCCTGCATTTTCTTTAAATTGCCAAATACCGGATTAAAAAAAAAAATTAAAAAAAAAATAGTCATTTATTTCAAAAATTGCTGGCTGTGAAGTCAAGCGCGGCTTTTACGCCGAGTAATTTTATCTGAAAGGAGAGTAACGACCGTTCTCCTGCGTGTGTGCTGGTAATTAAAGCTCTTTGGAAAGGCTGTTTTTCAAGCGGGAGGGATGTTTCTCCTGAGGACCCTCGTCCGGCGGCGGTGATAAATGAGCGTCTCTCCTGGCTGCGGGAGATAACAAATGTCATTCTCTGCCTGGCAGAAGCGCCCGGGCGTCCCGAGCTCCCTCCCTACGGCTCTGCTCTTAAACTGGGGGACACTGGTTTGCTTGGGGAGGGGAGGGGGGGGCAGGATTCTGGGCGCTCCTCGGCCGGCCGCAAGAGAGAGGAGCCCCTTGTCTGCTGTTCCGAGGCACGAAGCTTTTATTTCTGCGGCCGCTGGGCCTGGTCCCGGGCTCGGAAAAGCCGGGGGGGGCTGCGCAGGGCAGGGGAGGAGCCGCGGTTTAGGAGAGGCAGGTGCGGAGCGGGGCCGGGTTTATGCGGTCCCATAAAGAGACGGTATAAACCGAAGGCTTCAAAGATGGTTTAATAACTCCCGAAATGAAAACGTTTGAAACCAGCCCTTGTAAACTCTTCACCGGCATTTAATTGCCTCGTAAAACAGTGTGCTAAAGAAAGTATTAAAGGGTCGTGGGGTGGTTTGGGTTTTTTTTGCTGCTCTCAGATCGGTTTAACCCTTCGGGGACCTCGTGTCCAGCTGTTTCTCTCGCGCAGCCTAATGAGCCGTTGCCACCTTCTTCCTTTGCCTCTCCCGGTACGTCACTGGTGCGGATCCACCAGCCCTTGACCTCTGGGCCTGGCTCAGGTGTGGCACGGGCAGCGCCCGGCGCTGTGAGGGCGCCTCCATCTCTGCCCCCCACCCTCGGGATTCTGGCGGCGGGCGCGGGGCTGCGCCCCTTCCCTTTGGCACACGGGGGCCCAGCCCTTCCGCGATGCGCTTCTCTGTCCCGAGGCGAGTCGAGGAGCCGCGTTCAGATGGTCTGTGCCGAGGAAGAGCTTGGCTAATTTACAGCCCTCCCCAAATCCCCGCCGGGGCCCGGAGCGGCAATCCTCCGTGCGCGTAATTGGCAGCTGGTGCGTGGGGAGCGATGGTGCAGCTGAGATAACCGCAGCTGTACCCGTCGATACGAGGGGCAGCCGGGCACCGGCTCCCGCCCCCGAGGCCCCTTGTGTCCCCACGCTGCCGGTCTTGCTGCCGAAACACCGACAGGAGCCAGAACGCAGCCCCTTGGTGGGGAGCTCGCCCCGTGCTGCGGGCGGGCGGCGCCGGCTGGCTCCCTGCTCCGAGGGGCAAACGCTTTCTTTGCTTTCTTTACTCAGACATTTTTGATGCGTCGGCGAGCACAGGCCCATTCTGAGGAAGCTGGAGTGATTTCGTGCGAGGTTTCCCTCGCTGAGGTTTTGTCACCCACCCTTTTGTTCTGCCGGGGGCTCGCCTTGCCCTTGGATTGTAAGCAAAGCCCCCCGGGGGCCTCTGGCCACCCCGTTCTGGGCAGGCCCTGCCAGGCCCCACCATCCTAAAGGTGGTTGGACCAGATGATCTTCCAGGTTTTATTTTCCAACCTAGATGATTCCGTGATCCTGCTCCTCCTCTCTGAAGTCCAAGGGAAGCCGTCCAGCCTCTCCCCGGTTGTCACTGCTAGTTCAAACCCCTCCAGAGGGGATTAAAATCTGGCCTGAGCAGGGAAGATCCTGAAAAGTGAGGGGTGTCCCCCCAGGAAAGGCTGGAAATGGCTGGTTGGGGCGCAGAGCGGCTCTGTGCTGCGGTCAGCTAAACGTGTCACTCAAAGCACATCACCTGTGAGCAGCTTGGAGCTCGCGTGGCTTTACAGAATCGGAGAGAATGTTGCAGGTTTATTGCTCATTCCTCCTTTGTCTTTTATGTTCACGGAATCGTTGCTGTTTTCATTTATAGGCGTAGAAAAGCCAAACAGAGAGCTCTAAAAAGCATCAGGAGTTTGGGAACTGCTGCTGCGTGGCGGGGAGGGGGGGCAACCCGAGGGGCAAACGCTTTCTTTGCTTTCTTTACTCAGACATTTTTGATGCGTCGGCGAGCACAGGCCCATTCTGAGGAAGCTGGAGTGATTTCGTGCGAGGTTTCCCTCGCTGAGGTTTTGTCACCCACCCTTTTGTTCTGCC